AGGTATACTTGGCTTTATCTTTTGCACTCTAAAGATGAATCCTTCTCGAAATTTCAGCATTTTCATCAACTTATTAAAAATTCTTTTAATAAATCAATTCAAACTCTACGAACCGATGGTGGTGGAGAGTATACTAGTCATCTGTTTCGTACTTATTTAAATCAGCATGGAATCACTCATCAATTTAACTGTCCTTATACACCTGAACAGAATGGTCTTGCTGAACGCAAGCATCGTCATCTACTTGAGACGACTAGAGCACTTCTTCATACTGCACATCTTCCTCAATTTTTTTGGGCTGAAGCTCTCCTGACGTCAAATTATCTTATTAACATCTTACCAACCAAAGCTTGTCGTCTCAAAATACCTTACCAACTGTTACATGGCACATTACCATATTACAATCATTTGAAGACATTTGGTTGTCTATGCTTTTCTTGGCTTCAACCACTTTCAAAAGATAAACTTTCTCCACACTCTCATGAGTGTATTTTCCTGGGCTACTCTTCGTCTCATAAGGGTTATCGTTGCTTAAATCCACAAACCAATAGAATCTATATTTCCCATTATGTCATCTTCTATGAACATATATTTCCATATATCTCTACTACATCATCCCTATCTACCTCACTTCCTAATCCACCTACAAATCCCTTCCTATTAACTCCAACGTCCATTCCTGCTACAAATCTTTTTTCCAATCCAGATCTCTCTTCCAGGATCTACCTACGGCTCAACCATTTCCTCCAGCAAATGGTACTGTTTCACCCATTTCTTCCACACATTCTTCAAATAGAACCAGTTCATTTTCTCCTACTTCTTTAGCTCCACAAACTCTTCCACCGTCTACTTCTATACATCCTATGTATACTAGGTTAAAAATAGGTCATCAAAAGCCCAAAATTGTCTTTGATTTGCTTACGGTTCCTCAATCTGTGGTCACTCCTACATCTTACAATCAAGCAATTAAGCATGAATCTTGGAGAAATGCCATGTCCGATGAATTTTTAGTACTTCACAAGCAAGGCACATGGAGTCTAATGCCCCCTCCCAAAAACAAACCCATTCTTGGTTGCAAATGGGTCTTCAAACTAAAAACAAAATCATATGGTCAAATTGATCGCTATAAGACGAGGTTAGTTGCCCAAGGCTATAATCAAGAGCATGGAATCAACTTTAACGAGACCTTCAGTCTGGTGGCCAAGTTACCGACAATCCGTATACTTCTTCTTCTTGCTCTTTATCGGAATTGGCCCATTCTTCAATTTGATATTTCCAATGCCTTTCTTCATGGTGATCTTCTTGAAGAAGTGTTTATGAAGAAACCGCCGGGCTTTGTTGATGTTCAACATCCACACTATGTTTGCAAATTACATAAAGCTATTTATGGTCTTAAACAGGCTCCTCGCCAGTGGTATACCAAGCTTACACAATCTTTGGTTCAGTTTGGTTTCATTTTTAGCAAAGCGGATCCATCATTGCTTGTTTACAACAAGTCTATTGTTCAACTTTATCTGCTCATATACGTTGCTGACTTGTTACTAACTGGAAATGATTCTCAAACTATTCAACATTTACTTCAAATGCTTCGGTCTACTTTCTCATTAAAGTAGCTTGAATCTGTGGACAATTTTTTAGGCATTCAGGTTCATAAAAAATCAAATGCCTTATTACTTCATCAAGCTAAATATGCCACATATATTATTGCTTCTGCTAGGTTCACTACTTCAAAACTGATCTCAACCCTAATTACTCTCAAACCTTCAAAAATGGCAACTACTGCTCAACCTTTTGTTGATTCTCTTCTCTTCAGGTGTCTAGTTGGTTCACTTAATTATCGCACTATAACTAAACCTGATATTGCATATGCTGTCAATTCTGTTTGCCAACATATGCACAATCCCACAAATGCTGATTTTATGTCAATCAAACGCATTCTCTGCTATCTACAGGGTATGAAATCCTATGGCTTACCTCTCATTCCAGGAAATATGCAGCTAACTACATATGTGGATACTGATTGTGCCTCCGATTCCTTGGACCGCAAATCGGTTTATGGATTCTGTTCTTTTCTTGGATCGACTCTTATGTCTTGGTGTGTTAAAAAGCAAGTCACGGTGGCAAAATCTTCAACTGAAGCTGAGTATCGTGCTTTATCTTCCGCTACCTCAGAAATTCTCTGGCTTCGCCGGTTATTGGCTGAGTTTGGTCTTTCTCAACCGTCTCCGACGTCTATTTTTTGTGATAGTACTTCTGCCATTGCATTAGCACACAACCCTATTTTCCATGCTCGCACAAAGCTTATAGAGATAGACTATCATTTTATCAGCCACCATATACAACATGGAGCTATTGCCGTTCATCATATCAATTCTCTGGATCAAACTGCGGATATTCTAACGAAACCCCTCTCTCCTATTCATTTTGCTGAGCTTCGTGACAAACTAACCATTTGCTCCTCAAATGCTTAGTTTGAGGGGGGCTGTTAGAGTATACCGTTAGCACATGTTATTTAACCTACACCGCTTGGAGCAGACATGTGCAGGCAACACTACTTCTGCAAGGCAGCTAACAGCGTCAGCCTTTAGCTGTTCCTACAGCCTTTGTTCCCTGCTTTTAATCCTTATATACTTGTTGCATTGTATCAGGAATAGTAGAGATGAAAAGCATTATTCTCCTGAAGCTTTAGTAATCCCTTGCTTTCCCTATTCTTGCATTCTTCCATTGTTTTCTCAATGCAGGTTTCGGTCCAGATTACTCACAATGAACCTTTACCTATGACAAGTCTACATCTTGAAGTTTGGAATAAAAAAAAAAAATCTTTCAAATGCCCTTTCAAAAAAAATAATAATAACAATAGTTTAACATCAATAAATGAGAAATATGTTCAAAAATCCAACAATGAAGGATAACTATTAAGAGAGCATTTAAACTGCTCCTAATTTTAAACCTTTATGTAAAATTATAAAAAAAAAAACTCCTAATCATTGTTAAGTAAACGATCATAGCAACATTGGCTAAGAGAGAGAGAGAGAGGAACATTTTGACCAATCATTAATGCCTCACTGCTTTCACTTTCTCATGAAATTTCCACCCCATAAGCTCAGGTTGGTTGTCAAAAGCTACTATCAAAACTATGAAGAATATAGAATAACACAGATTAAGATGGAAGAAGCCTCGAAATAAGTGAGCACGCAAAGACTTTGATAGTGGCACTTTTTTTTTTTTTAGAATTTTGTTAAGAACCAAATCAAATTTACTTCTAATTTTGTGTTTAATGATGCCATTAATCTATTTATCTATAATAGAGCTATTGTGTGGCAATAGTACTGTAGTTAAAAACTAAAATTGTTGCATTAGATTAAAACTTTGTAATTATCCTACCATTCAATAAAACAAATTATTTTAACTTTTTATTATATTTCATGAAACTAATGCTTCATTTGAGATAGCTTTCTTATTACTTTAAAAAGAAACTTTTTAATGTAAAAACTTTTTGAACTAAAATTTTTTTACTAAAAAATATTTTAAAAAAATTGTAAAAAATGTTATCTCAAACTAAGTCTAAAAGAGGTGATTTGAGAGTATGATTTCCCTTTATGGGGCTTTTTCATCAAATTCATGAAATTTTCATGCTTAAAATTTTGATTTTTAAAACATGTATTTATGGAGTATATTAAAGCTTCGTTTGGGACAACTTTCTTACTGTTTTTTTAAATAACTTTTTAGTGCAAAAATTAAAAGATGCTTTAACAAACAGTAAGAAAGTCATCTCAAACGAAACCCAAGTCTTGTGTTTTGTTTAACCTTGATGTCAGATGATGATTATAAGTTGTATTATGATCATTATATTATGTGTATACTTTTTATTATACTTTTTATGACTTTTACGTGTCAAAATTCCTTTCATCTGCTTGAACATCCATGAGAATATTGCTCTATATTTGAACTGATTAAGGCATCAAAGGTTTCTCCTCTTATACATAACATACAACTGGCATCATCACAAGAGTAAATTTTGATATGATTCATCTACCAGCATTAGATTTACATCATTTGGTATACAAGCAGCTTCAACCATACAACACTATTTACAAGATCATGATGTTACAAAAAAAAAATTACAATAATAATAATATGTTAACAATTATGACATTAATAGAAACATGTAGTCACAATCACAAAAGAGTTCAATTGTAGTCTTCCAAAATTTAGAACCTTCTACCTTATAACCTAAAGAACACAAACCTCTACTGCACAGGTTCCTTGCATACTTATATTTAGGTAAAATAAGGAAAGCAATAAGCAAATAAAAGTACTCAACCCACTATAAAACTTAAGCTTCCTTTGGGACTGCTTTCAATTACTTCTTAAAGTAATTTTCTAGTTAAAAAATTAAAAATTTTGTACTAAAAAATTACTTAAAAAAAAAGTTAAAAAAAAAAAAAAACCTCTCAAGCAAAGCCTAAATACACGGTAAGAAAAGTAACATTCATTCTTGCCGTCAAATCAGTATATGCATAATACAATGCATGTATGCATACATCAATCACATCAATATAGTGTACATGAATCACAATGCACAACAATATTAAACCATATGCTTTATAAGCATATTTAAATAAGTAATGAACAATTTTATTTCATGGTATGTCAACTGAGACACTAATATTTTATTTTGGATAGTTTTTTTCTGCTTCTAAAAACAGCTTTCTAATATAAAATTAAAATTTTTATACTAAAAAATTGCTTTAAAAAACAAGAAAAAAATCGTCCCAAACGAAGCCTAAAAATTCGTTTGAGATGGATTTCTTATTATTTTTAAAGCAATTTTTTAGTACAATATTTTGAAAAAAAAATGTACTAGAAAATATCTTTAGAAAGCAGCAAGAAAACTATCACAACCGAATCAAAAATCTTGTATTCAAATTTTCCATTCCAAGCTCGTATGATCTCTGATTTTATTCTTCTAATTAAAATAAAAAATTCAGTTCCTCAAGTGTCTCGAATTTCATGCTTCATATCAAAATTTATAGTTGAATGACAAGAAAAAGTTTTATCCCAACAAGCATAATCATCTTCTATAACTAGATATTATTACAATCTTCAACTCTTCATTCTCAATACATTATATATATTATCCATATAAAAACAATGAACTTTGTATTTTGCATTGTCTAACAATCAAACATGAGAAAAACTCCACTTCCTTACCAGAACTCCAAAAGAAATAAAAGACAACATTCCTTTAAATGAAATTTCCCTTTCTATTTTTAAGAACTTCTTTCAATCTAACATGGCCTGAAGCTAAAGATGCCGTGCTGTGTAAGGTAAAATTCTAGCAAGAAAACGGGCACTGGGTTCTTAGCAAAATTAAGGCATACCATCCGCTTAATATTAAAATCTCAGTGTATTGGAATCAAATGTGAATTATATATTGCTAGAAATCATTCTTGGTAATCTTTTTCCCTTTCTTTTCTTTCTGCTTCAACTGAGTTAGGCCCGGTGCTGTGATCTTCGCATTGCCGACTATGGCAGCGACCAGCTCAGCATCAGTGCATGCTTTCATCAGCTCTTTCTCACGGTTTGTAACTTCTTGCATATGAAAGAAAAGATTCATTGCGCCTTTTGCAGCTGCCACAAAAAAAAAAAAACTTATTTTCCCATTTTCCGCTGGTTCAATAAGAAAAAAATTGTAATTTTGCCTCCAACCAGATGCTTCTTTTTTCTATCTACTTTCCTGATACAAAAATAGTCAAAGAAATCGCCCCAAACTAATGGGAAAAGACTAAGTATATAGATTGTTTGGAGGAGAAGATATACGTGATATGACAGGAAAAATTAACTCAAAGGCTATGCTGTAACAGAATATGAAAAAAGAAACGAGATTACAAGAGGAAAAAATCATTAGAAGAGTACCTTTGCCTTTCTTTGCAGAACCTGGAGTTATTTTGACACGATACTTGTATGATTGCAATGCAGTGTAAGGAGCACATACAGGTACCGCGTATAATAATATATCATTCGAGAGTGGAGTCCCAGTCAAATAATCCAAATCATTTAGCTTTTCTTTCTCTTCCTCTCCAAGCTCATTGATGCCTTCCTCCTCCATTGAAATCTTGTCCATCTCACTGATAGCTCCATCCAATTCAGTATGTGAATATTCAGCAACACTGCCATTGGAATGTTTGCTCCCAGTTGTTAGCGCTGGGCCACCTTCAGTTGTTAGTGCTGGGCCACCTTCAAGTTCCGGACAATCCCGAGAAAGATGACCTGGCTTCTTACATTTATAGCAAATTTTGGAGGGATCACGTTGGTCTGGCGCTATTGAGAAGTGAACAAAATCAGCAAAATTCAAAAAATCAAAACTAAAAGCAGCAACTAAAACTGTAGTTACACGATAATTATCAGAATAGTTCAATTAAATTCACATGTTATTTAATAGTTGGCCTTGCATTCACTTGTTCACACAATTACTACTTCAACAACAACATCTAACATTTATCCCATTACGTTAGGTTGGCTACATGAATCCTTTTTCTTAATTGTGTCGGTCAAATTCTCATTTAAATCTAATAAACAAATGTCATTTCTAATATTTTCTAACCAAATCTTTTTAGATCTACCTTTACCTTTCTTAACATAGAATAGATCTAAAATATCTAGTCTGCTACTCGAGTCATCAAAAGGCCCAAGCAAACCATCTAAGGTGATTCCTTCTAATCTTATCTACCACCGGCGCTACTCCAACTTGAATTCGACTAATAATATCCCCATCTATTTTACCATCCATTTGAACAATAGATCTGAGATATCTAAAATGTGAACTCTTTTCAAACACTTGATCAACCAATATAGCAATCCCCCACTAGATCTATTACTATTAAAATTAAACACCATGTATTACATTTTATGATTTGCTCAAACAAAAACCTTTGGACTCTAAGAGTGACCTCCATAATTAAAGTTTTCCTTCAACTCTCTCTAAAGTCTTCTCAACAGAAGAATATCAATAGCAAAAAACATATAACAAGGTACATCCTCTTGGAAATGTCTAGGAAGAACATCTATGACTAAAGCAAAAAAGATATGGTCTTAAAGTTGATCCTTGATGTAATCTAATTGAAATAAGAAAACACTAGGTCACCATCTTGTATTTGAACACAAGTAACAGCTCTTGTATACATATCCTTAATAATTTGAATATAAGCATTATTAACTCATTTCTTTCCTATAACTCTGCAGAGCACTTCTCTTGAGACTTTAACATATATTTTCTCTAAATCAATAAATATAAAATCTGGATCCTCGCTCTCTCCATACTTCTCCATCAAATCTCTCAACAAATGTATAGTTTTCATAGTAGACCTATCTAGCATGAATCCAAACTGAGTTATCCGCACAATTACTAATAAATTTAAAAGCCGGAAAGGAATATATGGAGCAAAAAAAAAATTCTGAGGGCATGAAACCAATTTTACAGTGCAGTAAAATTATAAATCAGGTGTTCATCCTTAAGATGTTACATTTAGAAGGAAAAGGGGAAAAAGAATAGTCAGGAATGCATGGCATATAGAAGCATCCCAAGGTACTATAATCCTGGACAAAAATTGAATTAAACCTATCATCAAGTAGAAGGTACTATAAATACAAAATCATATCTCTAACTTTATTGGCAATCAGATTATTTTTTTACTGCATTTCATAAATGTATAAATCGTAGCACTTCTAAATACTGGCGGTCCGGCTGATTTGCCTATAGCTCCATAAAAGTAAAAATCACACAGAATTAGCACTTTTAAATACCGGCTACTGTTCTGGCTGATTTGCCTATAGCTCCATCACGATCGTTCGTTCCTTTTTCCTTTTTCTGAGCATTTCCTGCAGACTAAAAGAACTAAAGAACAATGAGCGCGCCAAATACTGGAATAGCAGGAAAAATGCAACAAGGCCTACCAATAATATGTTCAATTATGTCGTGTAACTCACCGCAAGTAGAGCCATGCGAATTCCTCTCTCTTCCTCATCCTGCTCTGCATACTTTTCCTTGATCTTCTTGAGTTTAGCCCTCTGCCCACGAGCTATCTTTGCATTAGCTGGCTTCAGATTCTGATGGCTTTTGTCTGTCAGAGTACTCGATGTGCTACATTGATCATTTTCTTCAAGCTCAGAAAAGTCATTTATTACATCGTTTTCACTTTTTTGGTTTTTCTTCAACTTTCGTCTTTCTGTCTTTGACATGTAAGGCTTATCTCGACCTGTACTCTTGATTCCCTCGTGATCCTCACGTAAAATTGAGAGATTATTAGTGAATCCTGAATCTTTATCTAATAGTTTTGCAGGTCCAACACCGAGAGCCTTATCAATGATATCATCAAGTTTAGATGAAGTAGAATATTTTCCTCTTTCATCCATATCAAAGATTTTTCCATCATGCAAGTCATTAGAGTGGCCTTCTGCATCTCTGACCGTTATTTCCAAATGGTCAGAAATTTGAAACCCCGTAGTCATCACATCAGTTTTGGCATCGGTTTCATCATAAAAGCCTATTTCAACTACATGATGATCGGTGTCCAACTTAGATGGAGCATCACCCTCCTCTGTTCTAATCTCGTTGATAATTTCTTCAAGTGAATCAGACTCACTAATCTCCTTATGTGATCCACTTTCCATCTCAGGGGCACCTTCATCTTCTCCCCGCACCCTTCTTTCATTTAAATGAGATCCCAAAGAGCTCTCGTCCAAGCGAAACAGAATTCCAAAACCCATAACAAGAGGGTGGGGAGGTAGAAAGTTCTTTTTACCACGAATCATAAAGCTACCCACTGTAAGATACTCTCCAGTAGGAGCTGTTTTGCTAACTTGATGAGGGTAAACCCACCAAGCACTGGTAACAATCTTCGAGTCCCATGCCTGGCTGTGACATACCTGCAAGGTGCAAAATATTGAATTTCATAGTAGGTTGGGTGATGTTGAGGACTGAAGTTAGATCCATATCATGTAGATAAGTAAGAATCTCCCAAATCTCAAAAAATGGATTATTTGTATCTCACAAGTTAAAAGCGGATAATTAAACTTACAGTAAAGCATCCAGCTTGATTTAAAGTAAGAGGTGGAACAGGGTTGTCAGGCCTATGATTCTTGATCACGGTACTAGAAGCACCATGGAGTTCTGCATGCACATATCTGTTTCAATGTCAAAAACATTTAGCAAAAAATTTCACAGACAAGCAGCCCACTTTAACAAGCTATAGATGCTACATAAAAACCAATCGGATGTAGAGACAAAGGAAATGAAGATGCAACCTCAAAGTAAACTAATCTACTCATGTTTAAAAAGTGACATGTGAATCTATCAATTTATAATCCTAATTGTTGAAATATGAAAAGAAAAATCTATTCATATGTTTAAATATAAATGATTCTACGTGCTGCATTGGATCATACCTTGGGCATTGATCTTCCTAATCTGGAAATTCCTCATCTCCCATAAACAGCTGGATAATCATGATGCAAAATATCCTCTTGATTCTAATGGCAATATACTAGTACTAATGCATTGATTGATAGGAAATTTCATATCTTATTCACTAGATGAAGCCGAAACAAGAAAAAATGTATCATCACTCTCATGTTTTCACAGGGTTTCATGTTATGCAGTCCAACGAAAGTAGTTTGCAAACTATGATGGTTGCTTGTGTTATATGTTTTTATTTTATTGATGAGGACATCAGAAGATCAACGGCTATGATGTGGAGTTTATTATTTTCTTTTGTGTCTTATGTACTAGTTTATTTTGTTTTCCTGTTTTCCCATTTTACCCCTAGGGGTGGTCATTTTATATTGTAGCTCCGAGGGCATTTATGTCTTTTTGTTTTTGTTTCATTTTGGCCTATTTATAGGAGGCCTCATGCATTGTACTAGACATTGATGAATGAAAATTTTTTCTCTTATTGATCTCTTTGTGAATTCGTAGCACTTTCTCGAGATCTCTTTGTGAGTTCTTGAGGAGATAGTGTTGTAGATCTCTTTGTGAGTTCTAACGGATGAAGAATTGAGGTTTGTGGGTTTTAAATTTCCTTCTCCTTTTTTCCAAGGTCCGAGACCCTCCCCCCTTGGTTCCCTCTCCACGATTCTCCCCACCAAACCATCCAGCCGCCCCTCCCAACCTAGCCGCCGGCTGAAACCCCACCGCCGGCCAAGAGCTCCACCCGCCGATCCCCCTACCCTCTCATCCACTTTAATTCTCACAATTAGAATTTGAATTCAAATTCAAATTCATCCCGCCAATTTCACTTAATCTGAATTTAATTATATTGGCCACCTAAGCAAGTGCTGGATCCCAAATATTTTCTCCCACAGCTGCCCACGGGATTCCCCACTAAAATCCCTTAGTTCCTGTGCAACCCGGAGAGGAAAGTCACTGATTTCCCCTCCTTCCACTTGCTATCCAGAAATCTGGAATGGTTCTAAGTGCTGCCCTGAGATTTAGGACCTAGAAAGCTGCTGTCCAGGGCCTTCCAATTGCTGTCCAAGGAGTCCAAGTCAGGTTCACTTGCTGTCTACCACTCAGGAGCTGCCAAACTGCTGTCCAAAGTTGCTATCCACATAGTTTAGCAGGCTCCCCAGCACCACAACTTCAACGGGAAGGCCCCCAACTGCTGCCAAGAACTCCTTGGTCATTCTAGATTGCTGTCCTAACTTTGGAGACTAATGATGTTGCTGATCTGAGGCTTCTAACTACTACCTAGTGCTTGATAATGGTGAACTCTTTCCCATAGTCTCTTATCTTCATAGTTATCCTACTATGTGATTTAATTGATTCATAAGAAGCTTGTTAATTACTCTCCGCTAAAGCTAGAAGTTGGAAGAGTTGAGTGAGGGATCATCTTGTAGTGACTAGTCTTATTGTTAGTGGAGGGATTCATTATTGAAACCTATCTCGCATGCAATGTTAAGAGTAATTGATTACTTTTGTGATTTTAACTTTTATATATGTGACTTAGCCTAAACTTATGACACCACTCTCGTGTTTTATCTCGTCGTTTTATTGCTTAAAAGCTTTTAAATAATATTGTTCTCTAGATCAAGCGTGCAAGTTCCTAATTCACCCTCCATTCACATATGTTTCACATCAGTTATCCTATTCATTTTTCTTTCTCTCTTGCAATCCTAATCAAATGTCCTTGTTACACTTATTTCATTATCTAATTATAAATTTATTGTTTAAGAAAACAATCACATTACATCATAAGCCATAACCTTAATGTCAATAACTTGCCTGCGTTTCCATATTGTGTCAAATGGGTATAAGAGGTTTATTTTTCTACATCCTTCTTACATTTTTTAGCAAAAATACCCACTTGCTCCATAAGAACTGGTTTTTCCAGTTCAATTGAACCGGCCCAAGCTAAAACTGAGTGAAGCAGTAAGTCGAGCAGGCGAAGTCCAGCAAGTGAAGCGAGCGGCCCAAACGAGCATGAGAGCTACGAATGGGATCGGATCGCATAGATAAGTGAGGAAATGCGTGCAGGAGTGAAAAGCAACGACTCCTCACGCAAGATAATTTCATTTCGCTCCATCCAGTTTGGAAAATGAGCGAAAGAAACTGATAAAACAACAACCAAGAGGAAGAAGAAGGAAGGAAATAGAGAGAAAGATGAAGAAAGGGAAATCGAGAGAGTGAAAGCGGAAGCAAGGGAAAAGAGGAAGAAAGGGAGACCGAGAGAGTGATAGCGGAAGCAAGGGAGAAGGTTTGGACGAACGGCGAGCAAGGGATCGAGCGGCACGCAAACATGACTTGGAAAGGTAAATTTTTATAAATTAGTAAATGTTGTTTAAGGAAATTTAATCTAAAATTATATATTTTGAAAATGATTATATTAAACATGTTTATGATAAATGGAAGATATACAAAGGGATGGGCAGCATATATTCAAATAAAATTTTATCCATAAATTAAGTTATTATTAATTTAACTATTTATAGAAAAATGAGTATTAAATTAAGAGAGAAAAGTGAAATTTATGTTATATAAATAAATAATAATAAGTTAATTAAAGAAATGTGTTAGTGAATATAAATAAATTATAATAATATAGAAATATGAAATAATAAGAATAATAATAATAATAATAATAATAATAATAGAACTAATTGGATATATTTAATAAGTAATTAGAGAGAGAAAAAGAGTAAGTGTAAATTTTAGTATTCATGAATAAGAGAAATTCTAATCAGGTACTGCTAGGAATGCAATATACCCGTACATGTAAATGAAAAAAAGGTTATAAAAAAGAAAAAAGAAATGAAAAAGAAGTACCTTTATTGGTACTATTTTAGACGATGACTCCTGTGACGATTGTATTATTTATAAGAAAGGATAAACTTAAAAATAAATATATGATAATGATATAAGTATAATGTTGATGGTCATGTTCGAAATGAATTTAAACGGACTTATTTTATGTTTGGAGCTGAGCATGCATAATGTTTTAAAGGTCTTATATTACTGTAATTTAGATGCATGATTTACTCACTAAGTTCTTTTATGACTCACTCCAAAATTTATAAATGAACAAGAATTATTCAAAGTTAAAATGAATAGAAGAGAAGATAATATATATCGTAAGAGCGGTGCACCAAAAGGAATGTATTTATAATATTTAACTTTGTTTCAAATTTTTAGATTTTTGTGGCTCTTTCTATGTATTGGAAATAATTAGTTGCTAATTGAAATTTAATCAACCGTCCGACCGTCTGTTTCCGCCTAATTAATTCAAGCCTCCAGATCGGGTCGTGACATACTAATTTTTTAACCCTTGGCTTATCACTGTTTTCCCCTCAAACCCCTTAAAGAAAAATATAAAAATAAAAAATTCAAAAAAGAGAACTTTATTATTATTATTATTATTATTATTATTATTATTATTATTATATATAATCCCCAATTAACCTTCACCTAACTTTAAGATTGATTTAAACTAAATCTTAAGTTTAATAAATTCAAAATTCTGGATTATATTTTCTATTTCTAAAAAATCTAAACAAACTAATTAAAAAAAAATCATAAACTATATCCTTACTCAATCAACTAGCCCTCTTCTCTCTCTTAAATTTCCATCCCTTGTCTCACAAAAATCAATAAGACGTCTCCCATACCTAACCACTTTGCTCTATCATCTTGATGTCCCCTTTCTCTCTACACCTAATACCCTCACTATTCAGACAATTCATAATAGCATTCTCTCTATTTTCTATATTCTAAAATATGTAAAAAAACTAACCCGATGCGCGTCGGATCTAATTAATTAAAATAATCACAAATACAAAATCAAAATAGCACTAATTAATTATTGTTAACCTCAATACTAGTGTTTGGGTCGGATCGACCATGCATGGTGATTTTTAAAAGCAAAAGTGTGCGACGTCACGCGTAACTCACCTGATGCGTGTTAACCAAAAATCCAAATCGACGAAATTGCTTCTGTTTGTGAAATGGATAACGTCGGCGCATTCGAAGCAACAGAAATAGTTAAGATCAACAATCATATTGATTGGCATAGTCGGTCGATGAAACTTTGAAATATTGCACATGCAAATCAAGACAATGTCAACGTGCGCGAAAGATGACGACATGGTGATCAAGTTAGAGACAATAAAAAAATCAAATCAATTTTATAATTAAAATAAAATACAAATAGTAAAAAGTAAAAAAAGAAAAAAAATTAAAAAATCACAAATTATTGCAAGGAAGTACATGCATAAGATGTTGATCTTATCTTTATGTGTGCTCTAAAGTTGCTAAACATAAATATATACACCTTACTTTGTTCATGATTGCCACTCTTATGCTAAGTCACACAGGACATACCATTACAATTTCGACTGTAATTATTTCAACCATTGTCATTCACAATCATTACCTTCTTCAATTGCTCGGTCAACGGCTAGACAATGGAGCTGTACCCCTTCATGAATCGTCGATAGTACCCAGTTAACCCTAGGAATCCTCTCAGCTCCCTTATGTTCCTAGGCTTTGGCCACTTCTGCATTGCCTCAATTTTACTCAGATCTGCCACCACTCCTTGGGTGCTTCCTTCTGACCACCTCGTCTTCCTCATCTTCACAGACAAGGACCTAAAGAGTTCGGTCCTTGCACCTGTGCCCCGGCATGTACTTCTCAT